TGTTATATATATATATATATATATATATATATATATATGAATAAAAATAAGTTTTTAGTACTGTTATTGAAAGAAAAAACAATTTCAGTTAAATCTAACAAAATTATATAATGTTAAATAATGTTTTTACCGTTATATATATATATATGTATACAAATTAAATGTATTGTTTTGAAAAAATAGTTTGTTTGTTACTATGAAATTCTTTAAACAAAAATCGAAAGCTATAATGCAGTGTTTTCCAAAGGGTCGTACGCGTACCCCCAGTGGTACGGGAACAGTTTAGCGGGGGTACGCGTTCTTATGCGAAATATCTTTCAACAAACGAAAATTTCATAAATTTTTATTTAAAAACAAAGCTAGCCATGAAAATTTACGATTACGTGTTTTTCTATTGCCGATTTTTTTCAGAGTTAACAATTAATAACTAAAATATGTTAATAAAAATAAACATATTTTTTTAAAAATACATTCATTTTTTTTTATTAGTGGTGCACAGCGTTACGAAAAATTTAGAAAGGGTACACAAAAGTCATAAGTTTGGAAAACGCTGCTATAATGTAAACATAAAACAATGACCATGTAATTTTTTAAAAGTAGAATTTCGAAGAAGAATTCTCGTGAGCAAACATTGAAATAAAAAGTGCTTATATCTAAATGATGGCTATCTTCCATCGCCATGCTAGCCTTTTTTTCATTTTTTTTTTCAACATCCAACTGAGATTTGAAAGAAAATCTTCTATCTTTCAGATTATCAGTCTGAGTTTATATCACTGGCACGGGCAAAAAGTCACTTCATTTCTGTTAAAGGAAGAAATAAATTCGCACTTTCTCAATAAACCCCCTACCTTATGTGACATTCTTTTTACAAACATTGTAACAAAAAAATCAATATGGTTCCACAATCATAAATCTGAAGATCTAATCTAGAATAAAAAAAAAGAATATATCCCCCCCCCTCCCTCTATCTCTTTTATCTCTAAGACTTCCTTATCTATCTTAGAGCATCTTCTTGTTTCTACTTTTACAAATTTATGATCCTCTTTTTTTCTTCCCTTTTCCTCTTCATTCTCTCTATTTGGCGAGAATTTTGCACTTGTCTTTGTCCCCTTATATTCACACAAGTTTAGTGACTTCGTGTTTCTTCTGTAACAAAGCCAACTATGGCAAAAGATCATCAAACGAAGATGACGACAAAGAGAATATTTTTTGGACTTTTTTTCTGATAAAACGAAAAGAATTGATGACCCCTTTCAAGAAAAAGTAAAAAACTAGTCTGACGAAAAAAAAAATTTTTTTTTTTAAAGTTCGTTCAACTCTAAACAATTTATCAACAACCCAGTACTGGGTTTGAACAATACAATATGTTGTTTTAATGTATTTTACAGTACTTCAAGGATAATTTAATACTATTGGCGTTATTTTAATTTTATTTGTAAAATAATTTAAGTACAAAGAAAATTTAAAAAAGTGTAATAGCAAGCTTTAATGCATAATAACTAAATAAAGATGCACAATGGCTAATTTATTATAGATAACCTAGAAGTTCGTTGTCATCATTCTATCGATTATTTCACCCTATTTGGAAATTGAATTTAGTCTTTTAGATTATGTCGGTTGGATGGTGAAACTAAACGCTATCAATGACAAGTTAACCAATTACATTTAGTGTTTTCAAATTTAACAAAAGTCAATGACTTAATTCTGAAGTAATTATTGAACTCTAAAACAATCATGGACCTCCGTTTTCTTCAAATAACACTCATCCGAATTCGATTTTTGGATTCTCGGAAAGGATTTTTTTTTCTATCCTGCAAAATTTCGATTTGGATAATCGTAAAATTTCAAAAGTCGTTTCAGTTCGTTTGGAAATTAAACGATTTAATTCTAAAACCACTTATCCGAATTCGATTACCCGAATAATTTTTTCCCCTCTCCTGTAAAATTTCGAAAGTGGATTAAGCTTGTTTTGAAATCAAACGATTCTTTCTAAAAATTACTGATTCGAATTCGATTACCTGAATCACTAAATTTTTTTTTCTCTCCTGTGAAATGGGGAATTAGAAATAATAAATTTCAAAAGTGGTCGTTTTGAAATCATGATTAATTTCAAATGCCACTTTTCCGAATTCTACTATCGGAATCATGAAATAATGTTTTTTTTTTTCCTCTCCAATAAAATTCGAAAGTGGATTGAGCTCGTTTTAAAATCATACGATTATTTCCAGAAATCCCACATCCGAAATTCGATTCATTGAATTATCGTTAGATTTTTTTATTTTTTTATCCTGTGAAATTTCGAAAGTGGATTGAGCTCGTTTTGAAATCAAACGATTCTTTCTAAAAGTTCCACATCCGAAATTCGATTCCTTGAATCATCATTTATTTTTTTATTTTTCCTCCAGTAAAATGTTTGACATCGAGCGTCTCCTTTCTGGAGGGGAGGAAAAAAAACTATTCTTTGAAACCTAAATGTTAGAATTTCAAATTGCATTACTTTACGAATGGTTTAATTTTCCAGATTATAAACGGAAAAAAAAATCAGCAATGAAGTATGAATGAATGAAAAATTTCCAGACCCTATTATATATACATAAGCCGGAAAACTTCAAACCCACAATAAACAAGCAATACTAAAGATACTACATATATCGGAACTTGATGCATTTTTTTCTTTTTCTTTCAATCTCCATTTCCTGCGCGAGATGTTAAAGAAACAACACTACAAAAATGTTTTCTCTCCACTTGAAGAACTGCATCCCCTGGAGTGTTTGTGGCTCAATTGATATCTGGAATGTATTCTGGAGAACGTAAAAAAAAAAAAAAAATAGGTAGATGGTACTCGTTAACATATAAAAAGATGCAAATGACTCAAGTATATTCCTATTTACAAAGTAGCAAGAACTTAGTTTCCTGTGGCGCAACAGCGTTTTCTAAAAGTATTCACACGTCCTTAACACATAATCAAAGGTAACACGCCTTCCATTTAACCATTCCAGCATTATTTTAAATGACTCATTTGAACTTGGGAAACATTTGTAATCATTTCCTTTTTGTTCGATATCTAATAACATTTATTATTGAGATCGGCTCGCGGTAATTAGTGGCGCTATGTCTATGCACTATTTTAAACTTTATTTAAAATTTTCTACAAAAATTTTTTTTTTTTCTACTGTAAAAAATTTCATAAAATTCCATTGATATTTCTAACCATGTTTTTTAAAATTGAAATAATATTCTGAAGCTATTAAATTTTAGAACAAAATGGCGCATGAAGAGAATAATAAACACTCTCAGATAGTTCCAAGTTTAACTATGATATCGGTACCTTGAGCAATATATTGTAATTTTTATTAGATATTAAAATGAACCTTAAGTACATTATAAAGTAATGAAGGTAGTTTGCAAACAATCGGATTTTCCAGCATACTTGATCCAGGAGTTCTCTTGTCTTTTGGTTTGGGTTCAAAATTACAAGACTACGGAGTTGAACATCAGTAGTTGTAAAACCAAATATAGGGACTGCTGTTCAACGACGGTTATAAAATAAGCTTATGACATATAAATATATATATGAATATCTGTCATTCATATATCCGATCTGTCATTCATATATATATATATATATAAATATATATATGAATGACAGATCGGAGTAATGGAAAAAGAATAATAACTGAACTTTTTTAAAAAAATATTTATTGATGATGAAATTGATTTGCAAGTAAAATTAATCATTTGTTGTTTCTACAACCACTTATCTACCTTTTTACGAAAACACAATAAATAAATAAAATAAAATTTAACAAATGAAAAAGTAAACTTTCTTTACGTAAGTTTTCCTTGGGATTAAAATTTTCTAGTTGCCAAGGTTCCGCATACAAGAAATACGTAGTTTAGGAAGATAAGAAAAACTAAATGTTAAATGAGGAAGTCTTTACAAAAGAGAGAACGAGAAAAACTAACTTAACGAGAAAGTTTTTTTTTTCTTTATCGCTGTAATTCTGTGTTTTTCATTTCACGATCTAGAAACAGTGATAATGATTTAAGTACGAATTACGATTCTCATGATTATGAATTAATGAGTTATTTTAATGATATGTTGTAAAATTATACATTATATTTGAATGATAATTGACGATTATGTTATGTTATTTATTAGTTTATTATGATTTTCATCGTATAAGTAATTTTAAGAGTTTTATTGAAAATTGAGGAAATGTTTCGATATGAGTATTTAAAAGAATTTTTTTTATGGTCTTTGCGAACGATATTTGCGAATCAATTCGTGTTATCCTTAAGCCATTTACGAATCACAAACAGTAATTAATATTTAATTGCAAATCACGATTCGCCTTTAAAACGCTATTGTCTATTGACTCATTAACCAATAAATGCATGAATTTTCATTTGTTATAAATAATGTTTGTATTAATTTAATCATTTGTATTAATTTCTGTATTTCTATTTTTTTATAGCAAATATAAGTTTCAAATCCGTCGTCCATGTTCGACATAGTCATGCCATCAATATAAAGGCACAAAACTCTGAACATTATCTGTGTTTTAACAAAAAAGGCAAACTAATAGTCAGAGTAAGTAAAACATTTTAGTACCTTTGATAGTTATTGTTTTCTAAAACTTGTAAAATGTGCTAAATATTCTATATTTTCAAAATTCTAATTTATTTTTAAAATTATACTACTACTGAGTAAAAAAGCTTTGTACCGGTAAAAATGTCCCTACAGAAATTTCCCAATCGAGGTACCTTTTTTTCTGGGCCTCTTTTTTTTCCAGTGTACTTTCCAAGCATCTTTTAACCGGTACTTTTATTCCGGTATTTTTTTTCTACTGTCTATTGATTTTACTAAACAAAAATGTTTTGAAGTTGTTGTTTAAAAAACCATTATTTTTTTAAAATTAAAATGTGTATAATGTGTAATTTTTTAATTAAAAGTTACAATTATATACTTATATACACAGGCTATTACATTAACTACAAAAATCTTTAATTCTCCTGTATAAACGAAATTTTACCAACAGCAAATGTTTGAACTTGAACCAATCGATCTACTGCATTGGAATATAATTAATCGAAAGTTTTAAGATAAATATTGGGTAGCAATTTGAGGGCCTCTTACCTATTGGGGTCCGGTTGCACGTGCCCGAATGCCATCCCCTAAATCATGTCCCTGACCCTCAATGGATTAATTTTCACCTACCATTCAAGTTAATCTCTCCCATAGTTTCTACAGAATTGGAATCATATTTCAAATAACCGCTATTAATTTGAAAGAAACTGCGAAAACCACATAAAAAAAATATTAATAACTTAGTATCTCATATTATTCAATATGTCAAAATACCTTTGACCCCTCCTGTCATCCGGGTGACTTCTTTATATCCAGAGAGTCAGCTTTGCTTCTGGTATTTAAAAAATATGGCTTCCCCTAGGGCCGAAAAAAAAAATAACTTTTCAATTCCTGTGATATGTTAACTAAGATCCATTGTGTTCCACTCCAGAAGAAACCCAGGAACTCAGCAGGCGATACAATCATTCAAACATCCCTTTGAGCAAACAGGTCCTGGTTACCTGGTGGTGGCTACATTTATTGTGATGTCCGTGGATAAAGGAAACTTGCTTGTTTTTGCAGTTCCCTCTCCCATTTTTAGCAAATAGCAAGACCCTGGATTTTTTTTTTGATTCGCTTTTGAGTTTGTGCCGCCAATTCAACGCCTGTGGTATCTCGACGAGTGGTCTGTTTCATCTCTACTTGGCATGGTATTACGAAAATATCCTTTTCAGAGGAAATTTTTGGATTTAATACCTGGGATTGGTTATGAGATTGCATTTTGATTGAAAAGTAGCGCCATTTTGTGGTTATCATCGGCTGGCTATATCATCTATCATTTTGAAAGAATTCATCTCGCTTCGTAGACATTTTGAAACTTTTTTGTGGGGGGAGGGGGTCTAATATTCTAATATAATGAATTGTTTGGTCTTTTGTTCTAATGTAATGAAATCTTTATAAGGAGAGAATCAAATTTGGATGAAGCAACACTTTCTGATTTTATAATACTTTATCTGTACAACTGTAACAAGCTAAAAAAAATATATGATTTTGATCATAGCTGTCTTTGTGTGTAGCTTAAAAAAGATAATTGTTCTTTATTTTTTATTTATTTTCACTGAGCTATCCTCATGAAGGACCGGGGTTTTATCCCAAGTGGTGGCTTGACACCCATTCGGCTTCAGATCGATAAGTGTAGCAGTGCATCTGGGAAGTGATTGCCACCATCGTGTCATTGGCCACGAAGTTGTGACATAATTCCCTTGGTCTTAAACTGCCAAAATTCCCAATTACATAATGAACTATTCGTCACGAAATTATTTAAATTGTTCTTTATTGCATAAATCAAGTTTCATTTATTTATAAGTCATTAATTTTTATCATTCATTGTTTTCCTGTACTGAATATCATTTTTAAAAAAAATTATTATTAAAAAGAATGTCGATAATTTGATCAATCGAAATCATGCAACCTGAATATGGCGGTTGACTATTCATGCAAACAGTATTCTTCGAACTTCAACCAGGAACTCTTCTCTCCACTAATTGACACACATGAATAGCAGAACAGAACGATTGATGTGCTTATAGAAAATCCTTTTTCACAACTTTATGTGTCCAACTGCAAAACCCACTTTTACACATTCCACTTCCAACTGAATAGCGAACGTCAGTAAGATATATAGCAATCTCTGTGCCAAAAGAAAAATAACTAACTCACACTGACACGACCGCCCCCTTGCTCACTTTTAAAAAACTGGAGGGTCCTCCCGGTTGGAACTGACATCGGTCAGTGTTTGACAACTCACTTACCCAACCCCCCCAATGGAACAGTAAACAAGAACAAGATGGCATGCCAAACTATTAACATATTTTTGTACTTACCTTCAGGGACCCCAGGTATTGCTTTTATAGACTGGTTATTTACCGATGCCCCCTTTTGTGACGGAAAAAGACATTCCTTTTTTCTTTCTTTTTTTTTTGGAATTCATGCTTTTTGTGTTAACTCCCTCAGGATAAAAGTGTTCCATTGGTGGTCTCTGGGTTATAACCATTCTCTTTAAAGGTAAGCAAGTAAATATTGACCTTGCCCCCTTAATAACAGGGGAAGCGACTACTTGAGATTTTGTAATTTGAGTACACTTTTAGAACCATTTTTTTAAGCTAGTTTTTTGCCCATTGAATTCCTAAAGACTTCTCACGATCGAAATTTTCCCTGATAAGCGAAAATATTAATAATTCTTCTACAAATTAATAACTATTAGGAATTATTTTAATACTTCTTTAAAAGGGATGCGAATGTTTTAAAATAAATTTAGTCTAAGCACCTTCCCACGTAGTAGGGAATTTAACGTTATGTCCACCTTTTCGTATTCTAAAATTTTTCTGGAAAAAAAATTATATTTAAAATGGTTTAAATATTTTTCTATTTAATACTTAAATATTGTTCTGATTTAATGGCTTATTGTTCTGTTATAAAACTTTATTTAATACCTAAAATTTTTCTAACAAACCTTTATTTAATATTACCTGATTTAAACTTTCATTCGCTTCAAAAATATAAGAATAGGAAATAACAGTCGACGTGTTTCAAGAGCTTCAAAAATAGGCGCACATTTTCTAGTTTTGCCAGACGTAACTAATCTATTAATTCGAGTTCGTAGGCAACTTAACGTTTTTTCATTTACATTGATATTTCCTGTTCATATAATTTTGAAGTAATGAAGTTTTAAATCAGGTAATATCTAACCGCTGAAGTTTCTTAGGATTATCTATTTAATTTGTTTAATCTCTATTTAATACTTAAAATTGTTCTGATAAAAACTGTTTAATATCTTAGAGTGTTCTGATAAACCTCTATTTAATACTTAAAATTCTTTTGTGTAATTACTCTTTTATTGAAAAGAAGAAAATTTTTACTAGGTCGTCCATTTTTTTTCTTTTGCGTAAGAATCTTCGTGGATTTTATTTTTTAATAATTTTTGTTCGTTGTACATAAAGTTAACTAGCAATTCTATTGTTCCAAGCTTAATAATTTAGAATTATCAATGTTGAACCGTTAACCATTTATTTATTTCTTACTTATTCCGAATTAATTTCGTTTTGCATTTTTTTTCTTCTTTTGTACTTCTGTTTGTTCTCTTTGTTTCGTTGCAGTGTAATCAAATCAAACCGTGCTGTTAAAACTACAGAAAAATAAATAAATAAATAAAAATTAAACGCTTCTAACATAGCACCAGAAGTTTATTACGGGTATAATTTGCTTCTAAAAAATGAAAGAAGAAACTCTAAGTTTTGAGAAGAAACCCTGAGGACCTCAATCTGAGAAACTCTCATTTGCAATGCAGCCATTTATTGAATAACAAACCTAAATTAGCTCCAGTAGTTAGTGGTCCCTCCTCCTTGTTCTCGCCTAATTGGCAGGAATCGAAAATCAGACGCCACAATAATAGACAAATTGCAGGACTCTATCGACCACCCAGACTCTAATATAGACATCACTAAAATGTAGAGATCTTTCCTTTTTCTATATTTGTCTTTTTATGCTTCATTTTATTTACTTTTCTTTCACATTACATCTCAATTCAAAGCAATTTACTCTTCAACTCCTCTCGAAAATGATTGACAGTGCTGCCATCTTTCAACAATAGAGGTATTTATTAGCACTGCTGATCTTCCAAATTATGAGGGAATCGGGGGTTTTTTAGTTCCTTGTTTTGGAAAAACTTCATTCCTACGGATTATTGAAATCATTACATATGAGCCTTGTACGAATGCAATGTGGGTAGAATTCAATCTCCTTAATAATTTCTTGATTCTTTTTTCCTGTCTTTAATAATGTCTTAATTTAAGAAGAAAAAAAAATGAAATCGTTGGCATGTTTTTGATGTGACAGAAGATTTTTATGCTAACGGTGTTTTATGTTTCTCAGCGATTTACAACAGTGTGTACTTGGTTTTATTGATGTGTAGAGATAAATTGTGCTGATAGACTACATGATCAATCTGAGCAACATGATCCCAATAGTTTAGTCAGGAGAACGGTCCAAAGCTTGATGTTAATTTTACAATATCTCGAGAAGTTTTTAACCGAATTGAAAAATTTTTACACTCTCAATTATAAAATTCGTTTTTCTAAAGTTCATCTATTGCATCTGGCGTACATTATTCGTTCATTCGCTTTTTATTATTTTATTTAATAATAGTCGAAACAATTTTGAATTTTCAGGTATACGATTTTTAAATCGATGTAAAGAATGTAATTTTATATATATATATA